TTTATTTATTATATTATACTATAAGAGAGGTATTTTGTGTCATTTTTGCATACGGAAAACAGTGCAATTTGTTCAAAGTTTGAAGTATTCCTTGAATACTGAGTGATTCTTTGGGTAACTTGTGATTGATTGTAAATATTTATGTAAATGTAATATTCAGATTTTTAAAATTTATTTATTTGACTGGCCTTACTTATGAAGTAAAACAAGAGGGGAAAAATTAAGACAGCTGAAGTGTAAGGAAACTGGGTTGTTGTTGAGCTCAGATGGCAAGGATTTTTTCATCTTGTTGCAGGTAAGTTGGTGTTAGCTTTCTTATGATTCAGGCATCATCTTTATTTGTAATGCCTGTGCGTGTTGTGGTTTTCTTTCAGTAACAGCTGTCAGTAACAACATGACAGGTTGCTGTTCTTCAGCTGGAGATTTCTGCATGTCAAATTTACAGATGACTCATGTTAAATGTGGAAGAATATAGACAAATTTTATTTTACCATATTATCAGCACATGTATAAGGATCAGTGTTTGCCTTCTCCCCTTTAAACTGATCTTGGAAAAATGGTAAGGTTTCAAATTGCCACTATGAAGAAGAGTGAAAATTGTTTCTGTGCCTTCCCTGAGAAACTGCATATTTTAAGTTTTAAAAAACTTTTTAATCACTTGCTGTATGAATTTTATTGATTTCATCTGTCTTGCAGTGAGATACCAGTCTGTTGAGCATTTTTCCTATTAAGGTTTTGATACATGTCCTCAGCTTTAATATTAGTTCAAACACACTTTGCTCAGAAAAACTGAAAGATCTATTATCTCTTTAATGTATCACTGTACTTGTTCATGCTATAATTGCACCATTTGTTAAATGGTGCAATATTAACCTCTTTTCAGAAAGTTCTGTGAAAAGTTATAAAATATTGCTTTCCTCTTTGTAAAAAGAATTAGGTGACTTCAGTAGCCTTTTATGATTTCGTCTTTGAACTGGTAGATAAATCTTTTTTTCTGCTTTCAGTATGAATTTGCCCTGGAAATGTATGGGCTACAGTTTAACTCTTCACTGTGAGAAGTACTGTTAATCTCTGTTATCCCCAAGGTTTGGAGTATTCTTTTTCAGGGGATCGGTTTAGACCTATCTTTAGTCTCTATGAATGCTAAACAATAACAATAAAAATACTTTTTGTTTTTTTCCTGAAGTTTCCAGAAAAGGAGTGAAACCTTTTCTCTAATGCAAGCACCAGATATCATTATACAGTTTGTACTTTTTCAGTAGTTCAGAAATCTGGGTGTAATGGAGCAATGTTATTCTAATCTAAACTCTGGACATTCCTTGGTAAAATGAAACCACGTGAGTTATTAGACTTTTCACTTCTCTGCCAAGGCTCAGAGACTATCAGTGTGCTGGAAAGAGGCATTTCCCAGGCAGGCAGCGTCTGATTCATACTAGCTCACATACATGCCTTCACTCACCATGGAAGTGTTCCAGCATCAGCTACTCACTCTTATTGGGGGTCTGATCTGTTTCTGTTCTCTGATAAAATGCATCAGATTTATGAAATATATATTCCCACGTATCTGGAGTTCTTTGCATCAGACTTTCTTTCGATCAATGGGAGAATGGGCAGGTAAAGAGCTTCTTCACTTTCTTCTTATTACTGAGCTGTGGATTGTTATGTTACTAATCAGGAATAATTTTCCTTGCATTTGTTTACTCTGTGACCTTCAGAACATAGTTTCCCTTAAGTGTGGTTTGCTTGATTTCTTTTTCTTTTCTCTTAAAATCTTGGGTTTATGAGCCTGAAGGTTTTGAGTACTTGGGAAGAATAGAAAAGTAGTCAAACTGGTAACAGCTCATATCCTGGTATGCAGATGAGGATTCTCTTCCCAGTCCTACTGATGTTTTTTCTCTACTGCAAATGCTTTCATTTTAATAGCAGTGCCTATATCCTCAGTTTCCTGGTGTGTGAAGCAACTACTTTATGTCTAACATATGTTCTCCACTTTACAAAGCAACTTCTCTTTGTTCCTGGTGATGTTGCTCCAGTGTGTTTTCTCCAAATTGGTGACCTATCCTTAATGGTATCATTAACGAGCTAAATCTACTCTAGTCTAAAAGCTTCAAAGGCTGCAACTTGGCAGTGTTTTTTTTTACAGATAGTATGCTCTCTCATAAAATAACAGAAGAGTTTAATAAACACTTTCTTCCTATTGATCATTGATGTTTTTCTTAACCTTGTTTGATGATCAGTATGAAGGAAGAATGAACAGGTTCCCAGTTTCCTGGATTGCTGATTGTAGCTTCTTGTTAAGAAATTACCTGAACAGTTCACTTGTGCTTCATTCCTTTCTCTGGCATCTGAGACTTGTTGTGACTGGCTTAAATATATGTTTAATTAGCACATCTCGCAGTGGGTTGATAAGAAATTAAATCTGTCCCTGTGCAGACAACCTGCCTGAACACCAGATGCTTCTGAGTCAGTGTATAGGTCTCACTTTGACTTAAGTGAGGCAAGGACCTCCCTTCTGTGCATGAGGTGAGGAGTAGTGTGTGGAATTTTCTGTGTAAAATCTTTGTTTTCACTGAAGGTTGGGAGTCTTGTTTCCTTTAGTGGATGTTTTATGCTCTATCCCTTTTATAAACAAAGTCTTCCGGGCCCAGTAAAATTCATAAGCCTTGAACAATTTGCTGTATCATGTGGCACATGAGATTCTGAGAGTCATGAATATTAAAAGTTGGCATGTGGAATTTTATTTCCCAACAGAGTCTTGCTTTTAATTTATAGGCCTGCTAGAAAGTTAAAGATCCAGCACTGCTTTCCTGGGATCTCATTTCTCTGTGAAATGATAGACTGATTGTTCTTCTATTGGCAACAAACTGAACCATTCAAAAACACCTTGCTTTCCTTGTGTCTCTTGCAGTATAGAAGACCTTAATCCACATTTTTTTGATATTGACTAATTTTTCCTTTGCTCTGACACTTGGCAATTTTATCTTGAAATTGCTTTGGTGCTTTCTTACTTTATTTATTTGTTCCCTTTTTCTAAAGTGATAAGGATTTTCTTCCTCTTTGATGTTTATTTGCAAATCATTTAAAGTTCAGGATGCTTCACAAATGCCAAAGTTCGTTTATTTTCCCAGTAACACTAAATCCAAAAGTAAACTGAATAGGACAGCTCTGAAAGGAGTATTTTATAGACAGCGCAAGTTTGCTATGTTCTTTCCTTACAGACATATTTCTTGCGTGAGAAATTGATATAACAGCTTCAGTCACCAGTTAATCCTTGTCTCCTACCATTCTGCCACCAGCATACAAGTACAAAACTTGCAAAGCAAAACTTGTGAAAATATGTATATGGAAGAAAATTCTGCCACTTCTTAGGCAATTGACTTGTTTGTTGTTGACACCACTGAAAAATGCAAGTGATAATTGCTTCCTACATCAGATAGGTTACTGAGTGGAGGAATTTGCTGTCAAAATAAAAATTGCTGGATGAAGTAAGTAAAAGATGCAAAGGTCATAAGGAAATAAAAATTTAAAAATATTGATTCTATGTTTCCATAGCAACATTTAGCAATGTTCAAGACATGCATATGATGAAGATTAAAGGATTCAGAAAGAACAGGCTAAAGCAGAGCTCCAAATGTAATCCTTATTGTTCTGTTCACTTTCTCCAGTAGTCACAGGAGCAGGAGATGGGCTTGGAAAAGCATATTCCTTTGAGGTAAGTTAGATTACTTAAGTTTATTTTAACAAAATGGTGATTGCTACCTCTCTCTCAGTCTCTACAAGTTAGTAAAATTATTCTAGAATTCAACACTGCTGTGACAAATGTTGTGCTAATCCTTCTTCCCTGTATAAGAAGAGTAGCATTAATAAAATGCTGAAAGGAAACTAGGGCTGCATTCTAGAGGAAAGTCATCCAGGTCCCATCAAGCCAAGGAACTAAAACAAGCAATACAAAAGAGGACATATTGTCTGTCTAGGGTAGGAAGCTTCCTGCATTGTCATTTTTCCCCCCAGTTTCACAGCTAATCTGCTCTGATTTTCAGGGGGCTGGTCTATCATTTATACACCAAATGTAGTTTACTAGCCTTTTACACTTACAAACACATTTTGAAAGATATATCTGAAATAACAATAAAGGAGAAATCTGTATCAATTGATACAAACAAAACTTACAAAAATTCTAAGCAATCCTGTCCTAATGCTTTAATTAAGAATCAGTAGCTCTAGGAGTCTGCAGGAGGAAGAGGATCTCTGTGCTGTCCCTGTAGCTGTTGCTGTGCAGAGTCAGTGCTGCAGAAGCCTTCTATTCAGCTGTACTAATCAGTCAGCACTGAAGGCAGTGTGGCCTTGCACTGTGTTGTACCAGCCTGGCTATTACTGATAATGACTGAGCAGTAGATTTTCTCTTTGTTGCCTTCATTCTAAACCTTTTCTAGAAGCTGAACTGCATTTGAAACATGAGTTGCTGTCTTCAGAGCTGAGGTGACTGGGTGACAATCAGCAGCCTGTAATAAGCACAAGTTTAGATGTGAGGCCTTCTGCTCATAGATTATAAAATATATCTCACAGGAAAGGAAAATCAGAGTTGGCTTTTGAGCTGATTTACAGAATTTTTACACTAGTGTCATGGTTTAACCCCAGTTAGCAGCCAAGAACCACGCAGCTGCTCACGCACGCTCCCACCAATGGGATGAGGGAGAGAATCAAAAGAGTAAAAGCTAGAAAAACTCATGGGTTGAGATAAACACAGTTTAACAGAGAAAGCAAAAGCTGCACAAAAATGGGAAGTAATTCACTGCTTTCGGTGGGCAGGAGGTGTTCAGCCATCTCCAGGAGAGCAAGGCCCATCATGCCTAGCTGTTACTTGGGAAGACAAACACCATCACTCCAGATGTTTCCCCTTCCTCCTTCTTCCTGCCACCTTATATACTGAGCAAGATGTCCTATGGTATGGAATATCCCTTTGGTCAGTTTGGGTCACCTGTCCCAACTGTATCTCTTCCCAATTTCCTATGCACCCCCAACTTCACTGCCAGCTTGGCAGTAGAAAAGTCCTTGACTCTGTGCAAGCTCTGCTCAGCAGTAACAAAATCATTTCTACATTATCAATCCTGTGCTCTGCATAGCCCCATACTAGCCTCTGTGAAAAAAGCTAACTCTACTTCAGACCAAACCAGCACATTCCGCTCCTTATTCCATACCATTTACATCATGCTCAGGTCCCACACTATTCAATATAAATTCATTAACCACCACCCCTCTTCCCATTCTTTGATATAGTACACAGGTGGTGTTCCCTTAGCCTATGGATCAGCCCTGCAAGATGTCCATAAAATGTCCACAAAATATCTGTTGAGTTCATCTAGTTGATGACTTCAGGCTCCATCTGTTCTGGTGGTCACACAGGACAGGAGAGGTGGTGTGTTGCTTGGTGTTACTGGGCACCAAATCTGGCTCAGGTCAGGTCACTGCTGCACTGCAACAGCTTCTTGTCAGGCTTCTTCTCCACTGTTCAGGTGCTTCCTGCTGTAGTAATTCCTGTAACACACAACTCAAATCGTGGCTTAAACAATTTAAAGGCACATCCATTACAATCTCCATCCCTGGTCCTTTTGGGCCAGGTTATCTGGTGTAACATTGCAATGAACTCCTCCCCTTGTTCCCGCAGGGTGGCAGCTGCTTCACCATGGACTTCACCACGGGCTGCAAGGGAGTCTTTGCTTCCCCTGCTCCAGCATGGGGTCCCACCCATGGGAGACAGTCCTCCTTGAATTCCTTCAACATGGGTCCTTCCCACGGGCTGCAGTTCTTCACAAACTGCTCCAGTGTGGGTCCCCTGTGAGATCACAAGTCCTGCAAACCTGCTCCAGCACAAGCATCTCATGGGTCACATCCTCCTTCAGGCACCTACCTGCCCCAGCGTGGACTCCTCTACGGGCTGCAGGTGGGTCTCTGCTTCATCATGGGCCCATCAGCAGGTCACAGTCCCTTCAACTCAAGTTCACATTGGAGTTGCAGCCTGTACAGTACATCAGAACAGAAACAGCAGTGATGCCCTGGCCTTATCAAAGTGTTCCCAGGCTCAGTACTGTATGAACAGCAATACAGCAAGTAGCAAAGGAGTCCCTGCCAAACAGTTTACTCTGCTAATGCTAATCCACTGCTGTTTGTATTGCACTGGCAGTCAGCAGAAGTTCAAGCCTGGTAGTAGTAAAAGCTATAACACTGTCAGCTCCACATCTGAAAGCATGGAAGAGACTGCACAGAGCTTGTCTCAGAACTTTGTGTCATGTGATGATTTCTCTCTTCTGTCATGGTTTAACCCCAGGCAGCAGCCAAGCCCCACACAGCCACTCACACACTCCCCCACCAATGGGATGGGGAAGAGAATCTAAAGGGTAAAAGCTAATAAAGCCCATGGGTTGAGATAAAGACAGTTTAATAGAGAAGGCAAAATCTGCACACACAAGCAAAGCAAAAATAGGAATTAATTCACTGCTTCCCGCAGACAGAAGGTGTTCAGCCATCTCCAGGAGAGCAGGGCCCATCACATGTAACAGTTCCTTGGGAAGACAAACACCATCACTCCAGAAGTCCCCCCTTCCTCCTTCTTCCTCCCACTTTATATATCGAGCATGATGCCATACGGTATGGAATATCCCTTTGGTCAGTACAGGTCGCCTGTCTCAACTGTGTCTCCTCCCAATCTCCCATGCATTCCCAACTTCCTTGCCAGCATGGCAGTACGGAGAGCAGAAAAGGCCTTGGCTGTGTGTAACTGCTCAGCAATACCAAAAACATCTCTACATTATCAACCCTGTGTTCTGCACAATTCCAAAACATAGCCCTATACTAGCCACTCTGAAGAAAGTTAACTCTGCTTCAGCCCAAACCAACACAACTGGCCTTTTCAAGTGTGTGCACTGTTTATGCACCTACATCATGATTTCCACTACTGGGAATAGCAATGCAATAACTACTTCTGAAAGAACACTGAATGTAGGAAGAACAAAGACAAATACCAGGTACTAAAACTTGAGTTTTGGCATAGTTATGACAAAAATCATAGGCTCTCCCATGGGATAGAAGTGAAAATACTGCCTCCTGTCTACTCATTGAGTTGCTGTAGTCATGAGCAAACAGGAAGGGTCTGATGAGTACATAGGTCGGGGGGAAAGGGGTAGGATCAATACAGGGAGAGGAATCATCAGAAATGCTTACACATTTATTTATCATGATGCCTCTGGGTGTAGTCCCCTGTACATGCAGCTTGCTGAACTAATTTTGTGTGTGAGCACCTGGTGCTGTTTTATCCATATGAAGGCTGCAAGAACCTGTGAGTGCCATTGTTCTGCTTTCTTTTGTGCTATATGGGTTATGCAAGAGTAAATCCTATTAAAAAAGCCAGATATAACATATGAACGGCTGCTTTATACCATGAAGAAGAGTAAAACAACTACTGCCTTTCTGTCTTCTTTTTTAAACTTGGCTGGAACTGGCTAGATTTTGTGGAACATTTGTTCATTATTTTTGGCATTTATGGTATGACTGAGAGCCATCTTTATCCATGCTGAGAGGCACCTTCCTCCCCAGGTGGTCCGTTTGATTGAAGCTGTCCTCAGCTACTGCTCTGTGGGACAGATCACAAGCTCACACCATATGAGCTCATAGCTTGGCATGTCATCTTGCTGGCTGAAGTTGAAGCACACATTTGTGTGTGGCTTGTGGATAAATAAAACTGACCCTGCTGCTTCAATATCTGTGTGCCTTCGGAGTTTCTGGGTCAGCAGAGTTGTCTTGCTGCTCTGATGTCAGGGTACAAAATTCTCTGATGCTCCTTTGGTGTAAGTTCCTCCAGTGTTACGTGAAGGCAAGCCTTGTTTGGTGGTCACAGTCTCTGTTCTTCTAGAGTTTGATTTGCAATATCAAGTTATGAATTTCTTTCTGACATTCTGAGCTCAGGCATGGTCTGGTAATGATTCACAGCTAATTTGAGGACGCCACACTTGATAGTAGCATATGGTGCAGGAGACTAAGGAGAGCAGCTTTTGTGTTTTGAAAGGCTAGTGTGACATGTTTTCCTTTATTCAGTGTTCTATGTGGAAATTGGGTAAAATACAGCAGACTGAGGTCCAGGGAAAGATTACAATATTTACTGGTTTCACTACCCTTGATTCCAAGGTTAGTGGCTAGATACAGGTCCCTACAAAGTCTCTTCAGCTCAAAAGCTGCCTGGGGCTGTGTGAAGAGCCTCGAAGCTGTGAGATCTCAGAACACTACTTTGTTGATGCCAGGGTACAGATCTTTAGTTTCCCAAGATTGTATTGAGAGGCAAGCACACATAGAGCTTGAGCTTATCTTCTGCATGAATATCCAGGCTTCCTTGAAGGCTCTGTCGGTATTTAAAGCAGTCCAGGGTCATTTTGAAGGACTGGCCTTCTTGAGCTTAAAGACCCTGACCTTTTAACTGACTGGTGCAATGTCAGAGCACTGGAATTTTGGATCTAGTTTGCTATATTTCTTTGAAAATCCAGGTTTCTGTTACACTTGGTCCATGAATTCTTGGGCTGATGAGGCTGACTCACCAGACTTAAAACAAGAAGCAAAAACGAGTCACCTGTGAGCATGTTGATAGGCTGTCCCTTCTATACTCAATTGTTAGCATTTCTGATGTAGTCTTGTTTGTTCTGCTCTTCTAATGTAATAACTACAGATGTGCTTTAGTATCTCTTACTGACTTAGCACCTCAGACATACAGGGTTTATGGGTGAGGCCATGATGTATTCTGAGATTTATAGCTTAGCCTGTATACACTTCTCATGTGATTGTCAGGGCATAAGAAGAATGTTGGTGGCTCACAAGGTCACCATTATTGTTATTGCTAATAGTTCATCACTCTCCTAAAAATCAGACCAGTGATTGTGTTTGATCAATATTTTAGTAGACCATTTTGAGACAGACACAGCATTAATTTGTTAATAAAACAGTTTCTCCAATCTTAAACCTTTCTTTCTTTTCCTGAAATTGTGTAATATTACCAGCTGTATAATACAAGTTAAATATGTTCCAAGTTTTTCTGCTCCAGCTGCACAAGAATTCTGTTTTCTCCCCTTGATCTTGAACTTATTCCTGGAAATAAGGCTGTTCTACTTGCATTGTACAGATACAGAGTTAGCAGAAAGATTGCAAAATCCTTTTGCCCTGTTGTCTCAGTACTGGTCTGCTGGACAAAAAAGGGTTGAAGGATTTGAATCATACCTTTGAATGAATGAATCTTTGAATCATAGATACCCTATAGGTCTGAACCCCAGGCAAGGAAAGACAAATGGTGAAACACTGAGTCCATATAGCACAATCCTGGAATAGAGAGAAGGCTGTGTTTTGTAACAGGTAGAAAATTAAAGTAGGCAGCTACATATTCCAGAAAGCATTTTTAGGGATTTTCATTCATGCATAGTTTGAATCTAAAACCTGTGTCTTGCCTTTCATGAGGCTTTATTGTTTAAAAATTCAACTCAGACTGAGCTGCAAAAACATGCCAGAAAATGTATAGTGATTTCATACTCATCTAATGTAGGTTTAAACTTTTTCACTGCACTTTTGTTAGATTCCAGGGTGCTGATCCTGCTTGAATTTTCTTCATTATAAGCCCCATTTCTAAATGCTCAGTTGTCATAATTTGTTACGGCTGGAGTCAGTAATAATGATCTAACATTTTGGCAGTCGGAGTCTCAGGAACATTTTAGTCTTTTGCCACTGGGAGTCAGGATTTCCTAACACAAGCAGCTTCAAGTAACAGTGCTGGGAGCCAGTGCTTATTCGTTACTATGAGGGGAATGCCATCCTCTAATGTCAAAGCGTTCATATGTTCAGAAAATTCTCCGTGCTAAAGACATCTACCCTAAAAGCTATCTTTATTTGAAATATTAGGCCCAATTTAACCTTTCCTGTAGAAAGCCAGGAAATTCTAAGCCCAGTTCTTTTTGTTGCCTTGTTTGGGTCCTATGGTAGTTGCAATGTCCCTCAAAACCTATTTCTGAAAGGACACATGCTTTCGGTGTGGGTGAGGAAGCAGAAGAGACTAGTCGGGTGTTTGCAGCTGTAAAATTCTAGCTATTGCCAATGCCTTTGTGGGCATACACTTGTGTGACACTACTTCGAGTATTTATGCATGGACTTCACCTTTTTTCCCTTAGTTTTTTTTGGGGGGTGGCTTTTTCTGTGTTTTTTTGGTTTTTTTTTTTTTCAATTTTAAATTTGCATCTAATTACAAAAAAAAAGGCCAAAAATCAAACCCAAAATTAAAATTTATCAGTCTGCTCTGCATCA